AGATACAGTTCACCATAAAATTTACTTTTAAAGTATACCATTTCAGTGGTTTTCTGTATATTCATAAAGCTGTGCAATCATCACCACTATCCAATTCCAGAACCTTCCATCACCCCAAAAAGAAATCCCATATTCAGCAGCAGTCATTCCCCATCCTCCCCTCCCCTCAGACCCTGGCAACCATTAATCTACTTTCCGTCTCTATCAGTTTACCTATTCTGGACATTTAATTTAATCATACAACATGTGACCCTTTGTGTCTGTTTTCTTTCACTGGATATAATGTATTTCAAAGTGTCTTAATGTTGTAGCATGCATCAGTACTTAATCCTTTTCAACTGATAAATAGTGTTCCATCAGATGATACAGTCTTTTATTCATCCATTCATCAGCTGGTGGACATTTGGATTGTTTCTAGTTTGGTTCTATTATAAATGATGTTGCTCTGAACATTTATGTCAAAGTTCTTGTGAGGACATATTTTCTTTTTTTTTAATTTTGTTTGTTTGGGGTGAGGTAATTAGGTTGGTTTGTTGGTTGGTTTGTTTATAGGGAGATACTGGAGATTGAACCCAGGACATTGTGCATGCTAGGCATGCTCTCTACCACTTGAGCTATACCCTCCCTCTAGAGACATATTTTCAACTCTCTTGGCTGTATACCTGGGAATAGAATTGCTGTGTTAAATGATTGCACTATGTTTAAATGTCTGAGGACTTGCCAAACTATTTTCCACAGCTTCGTGCTTTATTTTACAGTCCCACCAGCAATACATGAGGGTTTCAATGTCTCCACATAATATTGTCTGTCTCTTTTATCAGTCATCCTAGTTAATGTAAAGTGATATCTCATTGTACTTTTAATTTGTATTTTAATTTGCTGTTAATTTACAACATTAATGATGTTGAGCATCTTTTAAGTGTTTATTGGCCATTTGTATGTTTTCTTTGTAGAAATGTCTTTACTTATTTTTAATTTGGTTGTTTTTTTATTACTGGGTTGTCAGTTCTTTATATATTCTGCACACTAAACCTTTATCAAGGATAAATCTGCAAGTATTCTCTCCCATTGTGTGGGTTGTTTTTTTAAAATATTTATTTTACTGGACATTATTGTACCAGTGAATATGTCTTCAGGTTCAAGTTGGAAAAAACTAAGACTCAATTGGCTTAAACAATAAAGAACATATATTATACATAACAAGAAATCCAAAGGTTATATGACAATAAAATGGACAACCTAGAAGAAATGGACA